GGCAACCTTGGCAACACAAGGGACATCGCATTGCGACGCTTACAAGGAACAAAGCGTCGGTTCATTCGAGATCCCAACTTAAGGGATCAATATGTCCACTTCATGAACGAATATTTAAAGCTAGGACACATGAAGGAAGTCAGCGTGTCTCCACTTGAGGATACAGCATCTTTCTACTTGCCTCATCATGGCGTCTTCAAGGGGGCTAAACAGTCATCCAAGATTCGTGTCGTTTTCGACGCTTCAAGTAAGAGTGACACAGGATTATCATTAAACGACGTCTTGAGAGTCGGCCCAGTGGTGCAGCAAGATTTGATGTCCATCGTGATGCGATTCCGCACCTTCGTTCACGCTTTGATCGCAGACATCATAAAAATGTACCGACAGGTGCTTATACACCCTTCGCAAACATCTCTTCAAAGAATTTTGTGGCGCAGCGACTCCAAGACGGACATCAAGACATACGAACTGATGACAGTGACCTATGGCACGTCATCGGTTTCTTTTCTCCACAACCAGGTGCATTAAACATCTAGCCGATCATCATTCATCCACGTTTCCCGTTTTTGGATCAGCGTGTATAAGACGCGACTTCTATGTCGACGATCTACTAACCGGTGCAGACACCATCCAAGAAGCGGAGTCTCTTCGAGATGAAGCGATCGAACTACTGAGACTAGGCGCATTTGTGCTTGGAAAATGGGTTTCCAACACCCCAGAATTGCTGGACGCAACACCCAATAGAAATGACAAACCCGTTGTCATCGACGACGACGAAAGCGCTCACATCTTGGGGATCAAATGGAACGCCAACACAGACACGCTACATTTTTCATACGACCCGGTCATGTCACATGACGCAATTTCAAAACGGAAAATTCTATCGGACGTTTCCAAATTATACGATCCGTTAGGCTTACTTGGTCCGATCATCGTCATCACCAAGTTAATACTGCAAGATCTCTGGCGAGCAGGCATCGATTGGGACGAGTCAGTTTCTCAGAACTTACACGTACGATGGATCACCTTCAAGTCGCAGTTGACGGAGCTCAACCGACTAGCGATTCCCAGACGTGTCAAACAGCATTGAACGTCAACATATACAAATGCATGGCTTCTGTGATGCCAGTCAAAATGCATATGGAGCCTGCGTGTACATACGGACTGAGCTCGATGCGAACAAGTATCGTTTAGAACTTCTTTGCTCCAAATCAAGAATTGCGCCGTTGAAGGCTGTATCATTGCCAAGGCTGGAACTATCTGCAGCGCTTCTACTGGCACGGCTGATGGACAAGGTTCGATTGTCAATAGATACGTCTGACATCAAGGTGTATCTATGGTCGGATTCAACAATTACATTGAGTTGGATATCCTCAGAATCACGCATGTTTTCAGTTTTCGTCGCAAACCGCATAGGAGAAATACAACGGTTGACTCAAGCGACGGATTGGCGACACGTACCGTCCGGTCAAAATCCAGCCGACTTACTTTCACGAGGTTCAAATCCAAGCGATTTAATTCATGCAACCACTTGGTGGAAGGGTCCCGACTTTTTGCAACACAATGAGAATTTCTGGCCCGCCAATCAATTTCTACGTCAGGAGGACACCTCCGAACTTCGAAAAATATACGTTAACATTGCAGTCGTTGACACCAGTGTCATAGAAGACATACTCAACAATCATTCAAACCTTGACAGAGCCTGTCGCGTTGTGGCATATTGCTTGAGGTTCTTACGAAGACCTGCAGGCATTACAACACATTTCGTCTCTCACGAAGAAACCACGGCAGCATTGGAACTAATGTGTAGGACCGTGCAACAGCATTCCTTTCCCGAGGAGTACAAGGCCTTGAGCAGCAACAAGAGCCTCAATACATCCAGCGGGATTTTGACACTCAATCCATTTCTCGACGATGGATTAATTAAAGTTGGAGGTCGATTAAAACATTCAAATCTAACACAGGACGCGCGTCACCCGATGCTGCCACCGAAAAATCACGAACTATCAAGACGAATCATCACGCAAGCGCATGTACGTAGCTTACATGTCGACACCCAGGCTACGATGGCCGCCATCCGACAGCAATTTTGACCTTTATCATTGCGATCTCTAACACGAAAAATCATTTTAAAGTGTGTTAAATGTTTTAAGATTAAGTCTGTTCATTCAGAAACCATTACGAGCCCCTTACCCCCTAGTCGCATCACTGTTTCCCGACCATTCTCGTATTGCGGCGTGGACTACGCCGGTTCGTTAACTCTGCGAGAGGGGAAACGCAGAAACGCGCATACTCACAAAGCATACATCGCCATGTTCGTATGCTTCGCTACTAAAGCGGTACACATAGAACTAGTTAGTGATTTAACCACCGACATGTTCTTAGCAGCCTTCAAAAGATTTATATCGCGCAGAGGGAAGCCTTCCCACATGTGGTCAGACAATGGCACTACTTTCGTAGGTTCCCGTCATCGTTTGCGCGAATTCTCTAATTTTCTTGAAAAAGAGTGCATACAAAATAAAATCCAGTTATTTTTGCGCGAACAGCGAATAACATGGAACTTCATACCACCCAACGCCCACATTGTGGAGGACTCTGGGAAGCCGCGATAAAGTCTGCAAAATTCCACTTATATCGTGTAATCGGCAATGCTCATCTAACTTTCGAAGAGATGCAAACTATTTTATGCGATGTAGAAGCGATATTAAATTCACGGCCCATCGCTTCATTGAGCGAAGACCCCAATGACCTCGCTTATTTGAGCACCGGACATTTTCTAATCGGCACTACCGTAGACAGTTTTCCTTGCCACGATTTGAGCGACATAAGCGAAAATAGGCTCATTCGTTGGCAACGCGTAGAACAATTGAGGCAACATTTCTGGCGACGGTGGAGTTCAGAATACCTCCACACCTTACAAGCGCGTTCCAAATGGAAGACTAGCAAGGGGGATCAATTAAAGATCGGTCAAGTCGTACTAATAAAACAGCAAGGGTTACACCCTCTTCACTGGCTGTTAGGGCGCGTACAAGGCGTCCATCCGGACACAGACGGCGTTGTAAGAACCGCTGACATAAAAACAGCAAAGGGTGTTCTTACAAGACCGTTAACTAGGATAGCGATATTACCTATAGATGACTCCACTGATAAATACTAGACATCAAATATGTTCTGTTTTCGCGCACAACTTTATCATGTTATTATACTTAACTTAGGTTAAGCACATCAAAATTGTTTGCGTTTGCACATATCAGGCATGCAGCGTCGCACATTTTGTCAACTCTCAACGTTAATTCGTTTCTAACTTTATAAGGCTCTGAGAGCTTGCGTTGCGGTGACGATCCAGTTGCCGTTTCCTTTTTCTTGTTTCATCTTTCGTTTACATTTTGAAAGCGGAGCCTTTCAAGGGCGGCAGCGTTGTATAATAATTAGTCAAACTTTAATTATTTACTTCACGTTCTCATAGTTTAAGGGGTTAGTACACTCCAGAATTTTTAAAAAATCGATAGTTTTGTTATTGGCTTAAAAAATCCTTTGAACCCTCTAGAATAAAAGGCAAAAGGTCTCATACCCGCTAGAATTTTTTTTCATTGAATTTTCGAGCTATGACTGGAGCGCTCCGAATTGCTCCGAAACGCCTACCTGCAATAAATCGTTACCAACCCGGTAGGTTCAGCACAATGACTTACCATTCGATTTTGAACTTGTGTAATACACCGACAGAAGATTCCTTTTATGAGGCAGGAATGGCAGATTAAGGGTAAGATGCTTAAATAAATTTTATCACTGAAGAAACTAGTACCAAAACTTTAAACGCGTTTTTCTCGAAACTATGTTTTTCAAGACGGTGTACACGATTTCTCAGGATCTATTTAACGAATCGACTTGGAATTTGGTACACATATACTAAAGACTAGTGTCTTTCGGCTAACGGACGGTTTTTTCAATATTTTGTTTTGTTTAAAAGTTATTAATAATAATAACATATTTTTTTTTTTACAAAAAATGAAACTAAAAATTCAGGAATTTTTTTCTCGGCGCTAAAAATTAAAAAAAAAAGGCTCCGTTAGCCGATAGCCAATATATCATAGATAATCACAAATTTTTTATTTTTGTCCCAGACTACTGGTTTTTGCCAAACCATGTACACCACCAGGCCACCTCGAAAAATCATGGTTACGCGCGAAGCAGCGTAACTCAGCGAATTCTGCATTTTTTGACTCAAAAAAAATTTGACGTGTTCTTCGATATATGTAGAAAACAATAAAAAAAAATTAGCCGTTTAGCTTACATACTTTTTTATAAATTAATTCCCAAAAATTAACAAAAAAAAGCCGTCTCTGGAGTGTACTAACCCCTTAATTCAGAAGATGTGTTATTCGATTAAGGTTAAGTGGATTAAATCGATTGGAAGATGATACAATTGTAACGGATAACGCCATAGATGGTCATGATTATATTATACATTAGATTTAATACATTTATCTGAATTTTTAAACCAAGTAACAGTATATCGCAGGATACGTTGTCATGCAATTACAAAAAAGTATTTTATGCAATCATTGTATAGAAGCATTGAAATCAAATAAAATCATATATAGCAACAGTTTAATTACTTATAAAAATAGAGGTAGATTAACATATTTATCTAATGACGTAATAACAATTTGTCGTACATGTAAGAAAATCATTAGAAATACGTTATTGAAAGTAGCGGGAAATACATGAATAAACAATTTACCGTTAATTACTTAACAATTAAAGTTTTAAACAGTTTTATTGGAAGCAAATTATTTATAAATTTAGAAAGTCATATATCTGAACAAAGTGCGTTGGATAATCATATTGTTCATTTAATACGTTCAATATGTAATAAATATATTAAAATACATTTTATTACGCAGCAAGCTGTAAATACGTCATTAAGGGATTAGGGCAATCTTGAAAAAAATTTTTATCGAATATTTGTTTATTGGCTTAATCGACGTAAAAATGTGTCAAGAACAATATACAATAGGTGGTTTTAGTCGGAAAATTTTTTAAATCGGGTTTTCGCGCTCCGAAGATTTACATAATGTCAAATATGTGCACTATGTGGGAGATGGTGACAGTAAGACACATAAAGAAGCCGAAGAAGATCATTTGGATTTGGAAGAATTGGAAGGGATGCTATATGGTCCTGGGATAGCAGAATAATGGTAAAAAAAATTGATGTACTTATAATAGCTAAATTTCATAGAGTAAACACGTTCCAAAACTTAAAACGCGTTTTTTTCTCGAAACCATGTTTTTCAAGTTGGTGGGCAGCATAACTCGAACAATTTTTGTCCGATTGATTTGAAATTTTAACAGTGGTTTCTTAACTACATTATCTAAAGCAATACACATGATTTTTACGATTGGTTAACAATTACATTTTTTATAAACAAAATAAGATCGATTTTTTAACGAAATACGCGATACTAATGTTAATTTTGCTGCCATTCCGCGAAAAATCAATTTTTTGTCCTAATCTTGTGTATTGCCATAGAAAAACTCATAAAGATACTGAAAAAATTTTTTCCTTTGCCCTAGGATGTGACTACGGACCTCTATCCTGCCCACCATGTGCCCACTTCAAAAACGAACACCCATATTGAGACTGCTGGAACGCCGCCATTTTTAAGTTTTTTCGGCCGAAAAAAATTTTTTTCTGTACTTTTTTATACACATAATAAACCCTTAAAATGATATTTTGATCCACTTAATATTATCTGAGAAAAAAATTCAACAAATAACCCTTCATTTTTAGTGCCGAAGAGTGCCTTAACCCCTTAAGTATGCGTATATTTTTTTTCAAATGCATATCAATGTTTCCCAAATGTATTTCACTGAAAAACGCTTTTTCACATATTATTATTGATTAGCAATACAGCAATCAAAGCAGCAATACAGCTTGACCGTTACAACCGATTACATTATCATATTTACTTGTTTTTCAAATCAACTGTTCAACACAAATCGTAATTTTATATCAATTAATTGTGCATGTGGCGTCGAGTGGCTCACCGCTCAATGCAATTGACTCGCGATCTGTAGACCCGAGTTCAATCCCACGTGCGCCCAAACGCGATTTTTCGCGTTTAATGAGCCAAAAAATGACTGGCTCCACCTGGTGATCAAAAGATCTATGATCATCAGCGCCGTTCGGATTCGGCGTTAAATTGTAGGTCCTATATCAGTATACATCAGTATACATCAGTAGATATTTGTCTCTAATATCTGACTGAGGTAGGATTCTGTGGATCAATCACCCACAAATCCGAAAAACAATCTGATTCGAGAAACGAATATAGGCCTCGGACAAAAGAGGAAGAGGTCTATAGACGTCGTATGCTCCACATAAGGAGATAAAAGGAGTCATTATTATAATTAATTGTGCATTCTCATAATATATTAAGTATATAACTTACGGTTTCAGTAGGGCACACATATACCGTACCCTTAAAATATTTTACAGATTACTCATGATAAATTTACTGACTGACTGAAAGACAAGTAGTAACTTACTGACGAACTGACTGACCGAGTGTACACCAATGGTATAAGAGAATTCTTTTAAAATTAATATTGATCTTTTGTGATTTATTTTTAAAATGTAAAAAACTGTTATATACATATTGTAGGGGTTTTCGGGATCTTGATCGTAAATAACACACAGGCGATGCTGAACACATAAACTTTATTCGCAGTTACATAAAATGTCAGGATCTCTCTTCGCGTCGGATAGTTGGCACACGTCGTACAACGCTCCGTACAAGACTCTTTTTGTGCGCGCCGGAAACGATGGGCTTGTGTAGAGTACCTATAATGAGAGTATGGCCATAAGCGTACCTTCTCGTGATTGGTGTCGCCATATGTTGGACCAAATCGGTGTGCTAGTGAGTCTGTGAATCGGTGTATCAGGCTGCTTACGTAGTATACGTAGCCAAAAGGTTAGTGTCATCAAGAACGCATTGCGTGAATTGCATCCGTAAGATTTTTGAATTGCTGTATTTTTACTTTAAAAATATGATAAAAACACTTTTGCAATGCTTGCTAATATGCCATACCCAATATGACAACTGAGGGTTAAATTGTACAATTGTTGGCGAAACGCCAACATTACGTGATATTCTTCGCAATATATTAGATTGATTTAAAGATTTTTAATGAAAATTGGCTCATTGCCCTTATTTCATTATATTATTAGTTGAATACTTATTGAGCCTTATCATAAATATTTAAATGACGCGGGCGAAATCAATGCGTTTAAATTTCAAGTAAATTAAGGGGATATTTATTTCAGTTTATTAGAGTTGCGTTTCAAGATTGAGGATATGCGATGTACATTGGAGGTTTCCAGAGGTTTTCCAAACGTTTCGACTCCGATCGGGTCATTTTCAATGTATATTAGTATTTTCAGATAGAATTGCGTTTAAAGACCGACGATTGTTCGGCGCGCAAATTGGGCGGTGGGGGGGGTGGGAAGGGAACACACATATATATATATATTACTGTGAATAATATATTGCGAAGAATATTACTACGTCGACCCGCCATCAGAGGTCTATAGATATTCGTTAAGATTCTCGCAAGTGCTTTGATACGCGTATATCTGTATATATAGAATCTCGATTTAATAACTAAAACAGGCGTCTAAGGTAGGCTTCCATTACAATACCTTATTTGTACAATTGTGTTTATAAATTATTTTGTTATTAAAATGTAGACGTTTTACTTTTTACCTTTAACTTTACATTGTAAAAATATATTGTATTTTTTGGATATTAATGGATTAGCGTGGTATACGTTTTATCATAACTCGAGTTTCAGACAACAACCATGGCGCGATGCATTTCTTGTGGTGCAAGATCATTAAATGGAGTGAAGATGTGCTGCTTTCCGAAAGACAAAGAGAGAAGAAATCAGTGGACCAAATGCCTAAATAAGCCGAATTGGACTCCAACAGATCATTCTGTTTTATGTGAGGTATATAGTTACTGTATTTTAATGTCATTTTTATTATACATTTAAGAAATAAACTATTGTATCGAGAGAATATAATTATTATTGAAAGTAAAATAATACAGTAACAAATATTCAATTTTAGAAACACTTCGCTCCTGTCATGTGGGAGAAGACACGTGTTGATGGAAAGAAAAAACTAAGAAGTACTGCTATTCCAACGCTGTTTGAGGTACCAGATGCACAGACTGTTGCAAGTTCTGAAGTTCATACAGTACAAATTGTAACAAGCTCAAGCGAAAGGAAAGAACCGGGCGTGTTTCTTGAAAACGAAGAAGAATCTGTTGGTGAGTATGTAGCAGCTGTCATTTTAAATGTGAATTCATTTTTTACCACCTTAATTGGATTTCAAAAATATAATATTAGAGCATATTGTCGCAATTATTGACGCTGAGGAACATATCAATACATTGAAATCATCCTCGAATATAATAAACGACGCCATGAACAGTATCGTACATCAATCTATTGAAATCGAAGAGTAGCAAAATGTTTTATATGTACAATCATCATATGGAAATGCTTCAATTAAAAAGATGAAACTTCAAGAAATGACGAAAAAATACGAAAATGTTTGCAATGATTACCAACAGATGAAAAGAAAACAGGAAAATTTGGAAAAATTGTATCTGCAAGGTGAAAATGTCAGGAAAAGGATGAAACTAGATCACAAGAAGGCAATGAGAAAATTGAAAACCAGAATTGAAATCCTTGAAACGGAATCACTAAGTTCGAAGGTAACTGCCGTTACTTCTAAACTTTTTAATACGGATCAAATAAAGTTTGTAATGTGTGGAAAGAGTCGAGTGCGTGAATGGTCGGCTAAAACTTTAACTGATGCTTGTGCTCTAAAATTTGCATGTGGGAATTCAGGCTATGCTTATTTACTTAGGAAAGGATGGCCTTTACCATCCTGTAGAACTATAAGAAGATCACTAGAAGGGTGGAAATTTGAAAGTGGAATTTCAGACGAGGTTTTTCAGTTTTTAAAAATTAAGGCAGATCAATTTGAATGCAATTCGCACAGAGATTGCGTTATAGTTCTCGATGAAATGAGCATAGCTTTGGACCAAAAGTACGATTTATCCACGGGCGAAAACATCGGAAATATCACGTTGCCAAATCATTCGGGTCTTGCTACACATGCGTTAGTTTTTATGCTTGCCGGTATTGCTCATCGCTGGAAGCAAGTTGTTGGATATTATTATACGGGAAATATCGTGGATGGCTCTACCTTCGCGCCGATTATTCTAAAAATTATCGAAAGAGCCGAAAAAATCGGTCTACGTGTGCATAGTGTAATCTCGGACATGGGTTCGGCAAATCGGGCGATGTGGAAAGTGTTCGGCATTAACGCTAGTCGGTATTCGAAAATAAATAACTCTTCCGAACATCCGTGCGGTTGTAAGAGACGATTGTTCTTCTTCCACGATCCTCCTCATGCTCTGAAAAATTTCAAACAAGGCCTCTTTAACAATAACTTTATCACGATTTCAAAATCATTTATTGAGAAATACAATTTGGAATCGGATAAAGTTAGTGTACAGCATTTTTTAGAATTAATATCACAGCAAGAGACCCTTTTTTTTCAAACCAGCACCAAAGCTGAAACGTGAATTAGTAGAAAAGGATAAACACTTCTTGAAAATGCGAGTTGGTAACGCTAAAAATGTACTCAGTCATGAGATTAGCTGCGCGCTTAATGTATTAGCGGATATAAACAATGCACCACAGTTAAAAACAACCTCTTGGTTTGTTGGAGTCGTCGCACGATGGTTTAAATTGATGTCAAATCGAGATAGTATGTTGGCTTTGAATTATGCGAAAATGGATAAGTACCACGATGCGGTCGAGTTTTTGCGAGAGGTAGTCCAGTTGTTTTTAGAAATGCGAGTTGGGGAGAAAGGGGATTGGAAACCATTCCAAACGGGCATTATTATTTCGACTGTATCGGCTATCGAGTTAACATCATACTTACTTGAAGAACGGAACTTTAAATTCGTCATGTTAGGTCGGTTCACCCAGGATTGTTTAGAAAATTTATTCGGGGTTGTGCGTAGCAAAAACTTTACGGTTAACGCGTTGCAATTTAAATATCATTTGAAATCGATCACTGTTTCGCAGTACATGCAGCCGATACCTACGGAAAATTACGATGAAGATGATCGTGAATTTTTATCTGATTTTTTGTCTGTGATACGTAATCGAAATGCCGAAAAACGCTCTGAATCATCCCTAATATCAACGGTGAATGACGGACCTGTAATGGAGACTTCAATACTTTTCGTTGAACTCGAACAACAAAGTCTTTATTACTTTGCAGGATATATTTTGCAATCTATTTTCGAAAATCAATCAGTTTGTAATGTATGCATTGGGTCTACCGGATCGATGACTGAAAACTCCCTTGCATTTAGTAAATTAACAACTCTTAAAGGTTTCAAGAAAGATGAATTATTTTTTGTAAATATCGTGACTTTTGATTTCTTTTGTGCAATGGAGAAACGAATTCGAGCGTATTACGAAACACTTCGATTGCAGAAAAATGTTAATCTTAGAACGTTCTTTTGTAATAAATGTATCGAAATTCCATTTAATGTACCCACGTGCCATGATTTAAAATAAAAAATCGTTTCACGTTTTGTAGTCGCCCGCTTGAAGCTATCGTCGACCTCGCGTTTCGATAAAACTGCAACATACGGTAGCAAAAGTATGGCGATGCATTGTAATGTAAAATAATTTCGTTTTTGTTTGTATGCTTGCGTTTTGCTGTGTTTCATTCAACAAATTTTGTTATTTTAAACCCTCATTTGTGACTGCGATTAATGACTGCGTTTATGGATAACGAATTTCTTGCACGCTTGTTAATGTATATAATATAAACTACATTTACACGCACTAGTAAATAGATGTAAAAGAGCATACAATCGGATGCAAAAATTCTCTAAAACGTTTTTGCTAAAACGGTTTTTACCAGTGCGTGTAATGAGACTCATAGTAACGTAAGTCATCGTACTATTTTTTCAATGCTTTTTCCCGTTTGCATTTATTAATGATGACTTTTTTACAAAACATGTGCATGTTTGATAATCTCCGTACTAATTACTCTATTAACTAGCATAAGTAAAAATTTGCATTTTATACACTTATTTTTCCTGCATTGCGAAATACTGTAATCAGCACTTTTTCTTTGCATCCCCAATTGCCTTACATTTTGTTACTTTTTTAATTTTAACAAAATATTTAATTTTATTAATGTTATTACTGTTTATGTGTATAACACTGCACTTGTGTCTTTGTTTATGTTAAAAATAAATATATGTTAATAATAAATTACACAAAATCTGCTTGTATTCATTACGGCCATGCATTAAGAACCCATTGTTTTTTTTAGATCTTCACACTGAAGATGAAATAAAATTGTTTATTCCTTTTTTCACCACCAGAAGGGTACTGCTGTGTCGTACAACCAACACGACTTATTATGATGTCACCACATGATTATTAATATGTATATACGCATATATATTAAATATATCTATACATATATGTATATACATATTTCATTTATTATCTCCTTTCATCACTATATTATCAACACGTTTAGCACATTATCAATCGCTTGATTTTTTAAAAGATATACTTTCATTACTTCTGTTTCCTGTCAGCTAAAATTTTTCTGTTATTGTATTAATGCTCCCTCGCGCGTTCTCTCTCGAGAACTAGAACAGACACGCGGCTGCCACTACAGGCAGTATTACTAGGGAAACGGAGGCTCGCCCGCGGCGTTCGAATAAGTAAATATCAAGCTACCCTTCAATATATATACATATATATATATATGTATATTATATATATATACATATATATATGCATAATTGATTATTATAATCATTGCAAGTAACAGTTTGTAAATCTATTATTCTAGAAACAGTTCAGAATTAATAAGAAGTTAATCATGGAGTTACCTGATTTCTCGTTACACTCATACTCTGCAGGACACTTGAATATTGGCTGAAAAATAATCGCAATTAATTTGAGGAAGGACACTACTACCTCAGACGCCTAATGCGCCAAAATGAGCTCGCTTGAGGCGATTGGTATGTACTACCCGTGTGCAATTTTCTCTCATTTTTAACTTTACGTTACCTTTATCAAGTACCTCGATAATTAAAAATGGCCCTACGTATTCTCCGTCAAACTTACGCGTTTTTCTCTCATTTAACATTAAGAATTCATCACCTATATTAAAAGTTGCCATATTTACCTTTTTATCATAATAAAATTTCGACCTTTGTTTCGCTTTTTCTAGGTTGGCCTTAGCTATAGTTTGGATATCGGAGATATCGGAAAACTAGTTTAACAAGTATTGGTGATACGTATCTGGATGACTTTCCTGTGACGTTCCAGAAGGTATTCGAGCCGGTGTACCGAAAACAAGTTCGTACGGGCTAAATCCAGTGCCTTCGTGGATCGAAGTGTTGTAAGAAAAATTTGCTCTGTCAATTAATTCATCCCATTCTTCTTTACGATTTATTAAATATTTTATATACTTGGCTAGAACATGATGCAATCTCTCTAGTGATCCATTGCTTTGTGGGTGAAAGGCCGTTGTGCGAAGCTGTTGAATATGAAACTTCTTCGTGATGCTTCTCATCAAATGATTTAAAAAGTTGGTACCTTGATCGGTGAGTATGCTTCGAGGGCATCCGAACTTGCAAATAAAATTGTTAATAAATGCTATTGCTGTGCTTTCAGCAGTTGCATCTGCGAGTGGCACATAAACAGAGTATTAAGTCAGAAGGTCTTGCATGGTGAGCACATATCCATTTCCACGTCCTGTTCTGGGTAAAGGTCCGACTATATCGAGAGCGACCTTGTCGAAGGCGCGTCCCAGAGTATCTGTAAGTATCGTAGGTTGCCTTATTTTTCTCCTTACCAATTTTTGCAGCTGGCAGTTACATCTTTTTATATAATCTTGAATCTGTGATTTCATATTGTTGCAGAAGAACTGTTGTTTTATACGTAAATATGTCTTCGTGACTCCTTTGTGTCCCCCGACTGTTGACGCATGATTCTCTGCGATGATTTTTGTTCTGTTTTCTACTGGTGGTGTGATGATGGCTCCTTGACAAACCGATATAGATACCGGGCGATCGGAGAATGTCTTGCGAAAATAATGCAATATATTTTGCCAGGTAATTGAATCTACTTTCTCTATCTTCGTGATACTGAATATATGTAGATTTAATTCGGTTGCAACGTCTAACAAAGATATGCAGCATTCTGATAAGATATTTTTATCGAGTTTAGTACTTGGCCTTTCTTTTACAGTTAAAGCTATTATATGACGGCCGGGAAAGATGACGATATTACACATGCTCTTCCTAACATTAAGTTATCTACTGAAGGCAAATTTTCCATCTTTAGCGAGTTTTCGTGTTCCGTTGTCACAAGGTATTTGATTATAGTGGTTAGCAAAATGATTAAATTATCGTTGCGATTGGAAAAGCAAATATCCGTTTCCTTAATAATACAGGATGAGTCTTGACTATCTACAAAAATTTCGGGTTCGCTATCAAATGAAGATTCTGAATCAGATATTTGTTCGTTACCGTTTTGGTTGTCCGGCGAGATGAAGTCTTCTTCAGGAGCTCGTGGTTGATGAAACATTAAGAAGTCCTCGTCGGGCAAACGCAATTTAGCAGCTATAGTTGAACCTTGTGCTTCCTCGGCATCAAAAGAGTCATCTGAGTCCTGAGAGACGTCGTGTGGAGTTTCGATAAGTACTAATCTTCGAGATCGCAAATTATATGTTGAAGTGCATGGAGCTGGTGTCTCTTCAGCTCGTATATCGTGCGCTTGAATGAAATTTTTACTTTTATCGTTTCTTGCTGTAGTATGAGAGGCTTTAGAATTGCTATTAATTTATAAATTTGGATTGTTATTAACAAGATTTTCTATTTTAGACGTTTCTAAAATAATAGAGGGAAAGGATGGAAAAGGAACTGATTCCTCAGCCCGCGTATTTTTAGAAGTCATTGACCTTGTCATAGGTCGACTTTTATTAAGCAATGAATTAGCTTTCTGTCGGGGTGTCTCATCATTAGAATTTGAGTCTGGATTGAAAGGTGGAGCAGTAATAAGGCGACGACTCCTAGTAATAGGTAACAATGACAAGTGAGTTATAGTTTCTGGATTAGAAGGAGGATTTCTGGACAGAGCGTCTGCATTGTTATTAGAATTACCAGATTTATACACTATTTTATAATTGTACTCTTCTAATTTAAGGCGCCATCTCATAAGTCGTGATGTAGGATCCTTAACTCGATGCAGCCAAGTCAATGGTTGATGATCAGTCACTAATACAAATGTTCTGCCATACAGGTAAGGTCTGAAATAGTTTACGCAGTATACAATTGCCAGCAATTCCTTCTCAATAGTAGAATAATTCCTTTCAGCCGAATTTAAGACTCTTGATGCATATCGTATAGGAAGATCTTGGCCGATCACACCTTGGCTGAGCACTCCTCCACTAGCAAAGTCTGAGGCATCTGTCGTAAGTACAAAATCTTGCTCGAAGTGGATACTGTAGAATCGGTTCCTCACAAAGTAATACATCGAAGGCTCCCTGTGTTTCATGTATCTACTTAAACGTTGCTTCCTTTTTCAGAAGGTTTGACAGAGGGCTGGCGAGTTTAGAGAACCCTGGAATAAAACGTCTGTAATAACCTGCAAGGCCGAGAAATTGACGCACATTTTTTTGGTTACGTGGCCTTGGAAAATTTTTGACCGCCAGTTTTTGTGGGTCAGGCCTAACACCATCTTCTTTAATGATGTGCCCAAGGTAAGTAATTTCATGACGGAGAAACTCACATTTATCTGACTGGAGTGTCAGATTGGCAACTATCAGTCTATTCATCAATTTATTAATCTTGATCTCGTGTTCTCGTAGTGAGCTAGCATACAACACTATGTCATCCATATATACAAGTAGTTCAACGTTTTGAAGACCAGTTAATACGTCCATTAGCCTCTGGAAAGTGGCAGGCGCGTTTTTCAATCCAAATGGCATTCGAGAAAATTGAAAGTGTCCGAATGGAGTTCAAAAGGCCGTCTTGTGAGCATCCATAGGATCCATTGGAATCTGGTGAAATCCGCTTGCAAGGTCAAGCATCGAGAAGTATTTAGCACCTCCGAGCTGGTCGAGTATGTCGCTGATATTCGGTAGCGGGTAAGCGTCTCCTATCGTTTTCTCATTTAGCTTCCTATAATCTATAATCATTCGCCATCGCTTGTTGCCTAATGAATCCGGTTTTTTAGGAACAATCCACACCGCTGAGCAGTGTTTTCCGTTATCTAGATAAAATTGTCTAGATAATCATCTAGATGAAGAAATAGCTTTATCTTATTTTTATCTAAATTATTAAGAATATATACTATCTTTTTATTTTTGACAAGGATCAAAGATAAAAAAACACATATGAAGTCCAAGTTCAAAATGTATACACGGAATCTATAATTTTTAGTATTATAAAGAAGATTGTATAACGATAGTTTAATTTTAATGTAGATATACTGTTGTATCATTGAAAATGACCCGATCGGTGTCGAAACGTCTGAATTTGTATTATTGTATTAATATATGAATTAAAATAATTTGTTAGATTAAATTGGCTCTACGCCCTAGTTACATTTTTATATTGTTTTATACTATCTTTATCTTATCTTAGATTTTAAAAAATGTTATCTTTTTCAATTTATCTAAGATTGTAGAAGAGTATTGTAAGAAATTTTTATGTAAACAATCAACCTCCAGTAGTAGTAGTGATGCAAATTTTTTTTGCAATATAGACCAAAAATTTGGTAGTTTGACACCAGTCATTCAAAGCGACATTGAAGTATTTTCATATTTAGAAAACAAATCAAAGGAATTAGATATATATATATATATTCTGAATTTATAACTACACATTAAACAAATTTTTTTAAAATATAATACATCATTGCCATTATCAGCGCCAGTAGAACATCTTTTTAGTTGCGGATAACAAATATTAATTCCATGTAGAAACCGTTTATCAGATATGTTCGAAAAATTGTTATTCTTAAAAAAAATATAGATTTATAAAAATATGAATATATTTTTTGTATCTTAAATCGTTTTACTACCTAATAGTCACTTAAAAACAAAATCATCTTAAAAATTATCTAGATAAAAGTTTTTTAATTTCATCTTTTATCTAGATTAATGTAAAATTAATCATCTTCATCTTATCTAAAATAAATTTTTGTATTATTTATCTTATCTATATCTAGATAATTTTTAATTATCTAAGCGCAACACTGCCGGTGAGTAAAAAGGTGATACAGAGAGTAATTATTTCCTTGGAAACTAATTCTTTAACCTGCCGCGTAATTTCATCTCTGTGTACCGGAGGAAATCTTTACTGCTTAGTCTGTATAGGTGAGTCATCCGTAGTGACTATCTTATGAGAGAACACATGCGTTTTATCGAGATACTCATCAGGCATGTAAAATCTATTACTATGTAAATTCACTAGTGCAATTACATGTTCTTTTTCAGGAACATTTAAGTGTTCTAAACGTAATAATTGTACAATATTTGATACTCTATCGAAATTATTATTATTATTATTATTAGAGTTAACATGAGTTACTTTTGTTATATTCTTACTATTAACATTATTAAAAGAAGATGGAATTATTTCCGTTTGTCTGAATTATTATTCTTACAAAAATTTTGAATTATCTCCGTTACATTCTCTGAATTATTACAAAAATTCCGAATACTTCTCGTATAATTTGCTGAATTATTGTGTATGCTATAATTTTGAGACATTTTTACTATATTCTCGCTATTATCGCTTTTATATTCCGCTGAAAATTTATGTATTGTTTTTAACCCGCTGACGCTCTTGCATATTTTACTTACTTGTACAATATTTGTTCCTTCTTTTGTAGATACAGAGTATGAATATAAAGTAGAAATCAAGCCTCGCATGAGGGGAGCTGGTCCCTTGGAGCAGTCAAGATGGAATGGTTTCGTCAGCGTGAAATAAGAATTGGCAACGTCTGACATGCAGAGAGATCCCTCGTGAGTGCTCGTTGCTGAAGACTCAATAAAATTAATAGAATTAGTAATAATTGAATTAGTAGTAGTAGTAGAATTAGAAAAATTAGAATTATAAGGAACAACAATGTTACTTGTGTGAGAGGTTTGTGCGTTGGTTTTGTCATCGTCTTCTGAAGTGATAATTAATTGCTTATTATTGTTAGCAGAGTTGAGAGACATAGAAATTTTTGTATTATTGTAAGGAATTATTTGGTTTTTAATTTTGCATGCAAGATGAGAAATTTCAGTTGCTGGTTTTATTTCAGTCGAACTTGGATGAGAACGAGTAGAAATGTCAGCAGACTGCTGAATTCGTGAGCTCAAATCTTTGTTAGAGTTCGAAGATTTAATTCTCTCGTCTAGTTTTGCAAGAGAAGGTGACTCATTAGAAATTTGGCTGACTTCTATGAGTCGTATGGTGGGTATCAACACTTCTATTTCGAAGTCGAGAGTATTTATTATTCTGATGTATGCTTTGTCATTTTTACAGGTGACGAGGGAGTCTCTAGCGAATATACACCCTCGTATATTCGGAGTCGTGGTATAGATATCCTGTTTTTATTTCAGGATTTGAAATGCGGATTACAAATCCGGAGCTTGAGCGGGCGGGAATTTTCACAGATTCCAGTTGCTTGAATGGAATAGAGCGGCCACGCCATGAAATGTGGCTTTTGACATAATTGATGCACGCATTTTGCTTCATGAAGAAAGTTGAGCCTAATATTCCTTGCGGAATGATAGGGAAGTTGTCCGAGACGACATGGAAAGTCACTGACACGGAGGCTATGAAAATTTTTACTAAGCCAAGCGTGCTAACAACATCTGAAGTAATTCCTGTAAGTTGTAAAATTTCTTGGTTATTAATGATTACATTTTCTTTAATGCAATTTTTCTTGATAATATTAGGTTGTGCCCCGGTATCGAGCATGAAACTTATTGGTCCTTTGAATAAGGGGGATCGAAGCATGACGACGAGTACGTCATGGGTATCGGGTCGGAGTATGTACAGTCCTCAGGGCTGTACTCAAGAGGGAGGACAGGACGGACGTTCTCCAGGCCTCGGTTGGTCCCGTTGGCCGAGACCTCGAATCTGTTTCCCTGCCTTTGAGGCGCAGGTAAGCTACTATTATTAATATTATTGTTATAGGGAAAATATTTATCGGATTCGTTTGGAATTTGGGAGTCAAGAAGAAGATATTGATTTTTGGATTAATATTATTGTTATTATTAAATCTACTGCTATTAAAATTACTATTATTATGATTATTAAAACCGTTATTACTATAATTGTTCTGGGGATTCGGATTATTACTCCGATATTGCCTTTTTCGGCATTCATTATATAAATGCCCGTAATTCTTGCAGTGTGTGCAGACCTTGCTGGTGTCATCAAACGCGTTAGGCGCAGATGACGGATTGCTTGTTGGAGTGCAGGGCATGGCGGAGGAAACGTCGCGCTGAGGGTTTCCAGCGGGACTCTGAGCACCTCCGGGAGCAAACTCATCGCGCGGATGTCTGGTAACGCGACTCCTCTCTCTCAAGGCGCTTATGTATTATTATTACTTTTGCGCAGGCGTCAGCGAAATTAGCGTACCCCTTGGCCCTCAACTCGGTACGATAGTCACGAGGAAAATCTTCGTAAAAGGCTTCAAGCGCGTACGCTTCAATACTTGAAATCTCAGATTGCGTTAGCGTGCGGTCGAGATTTACTTGATCTCCTTCTATTATGGCAGTACGTAAGTCTTTTATTCGTCCGATATAGTCGAGTATGTGTTCATTCGGTTTTTTGAACACAATACTTAACTGTCCTCGATAATAATTTGAACTCTTACCCGGGCCGAATATCCGTTTCAAGGTATCCAAAAATTTATTAACAAGGTGCACTCTTCATCCTGTACCGCCAAATACGCGTGATGCGAAAGCTTATTTCTGAGCATTCGAACTAACAACGCTTCGTCGAGTTGTGGTATCGAGTCTTTTGCCCTCCTACAGGCACGCGCAAATTGCCAAACCGGGATGTTGTGACCATCGTACTTTGGCGCTAATTCTAATGTATCGCGCACGTATGATTTCGGGTAAGCGGAGTAGGCGTTCGCGAAGGTAGCGTCCGGTATTGGACTCGAAGTCGCTTCCATTCTAGTAGAAATTCCCGTGAGATTAAGAGGCGGTGGCCCTTCAACCGGAGTAGGCCCTACGTGAGTGGACGCCGAGAAATCCGGACCTTGAAGTCTTGCTAACACGTCTGCGACGGTTCGCATAGTATTTCCGAAAGTTTCCGCGCGCGCATTTAATTCTTGCTCTCTTGCCCTTGCTGATTTAATAGCCTGTTCATATTCTTTTTGCAAATCATCGAGCGACCGCGAACTCGCCTCCCCCCGAGAAGGAGAATCATTTCTTTGTTCATCCATTCCGGAGGATAAAACGCTAAACAGTCGGAGAGAAGCTACTCGTCGACAACAGGCTATTAATATACTATATATTATAATTATATTTATCATATAATAATTGATACTATACCGGCGTGGTATTATGGTATTATTATTGTAAAAAAAATGTTTTTTTTTCAATTTTGTATTTTATACGTTAACATTTAATAAGCATAGTCTAATCTGCGTTCTATGGTTTTTAGATTCGTTTTGCAAGATGTCTATAACAGCGATATAATACATAGAGGAGAGAAAGAGGAGGAAGAAGAAGAGAAGAGAGAGGAAAAAAAATGGCAACAATAAAGGTCAATACAAAATAAAGGTAATGTATTTACAATGATAATATTCCTATGACAAAGAATAAAAGAGAATATAAAATTAAGGAATCGTATATATGTGTATATAGTTGATAATAAAAATGAGAAATATAAGAAATATGAAAAGAATATATTTTATTTCAATCTAGGGTGATGACCTCAACCCTTTTCGTCTCGCTGCATCCAACGTGTTCCCCTCTCCCTTTCACCTATGACAGAAGAGAGAGCGAGAAAGTTAGCAGTCGCGGGGAAATAATTATCTTGGTAGGTAAGCGACGCGACTCAGTGGAAACAGTGATTGGTTCATCTAAGCTGTCGTAATCTTCATTGTTACGCAGAAGGTATCTACGAAGCAGGAGGTATAAGGTATTCGGGCAATATTCGTACTCTATTATAGGTCGCGTGAAGGCTAATATGCGTCTACATAAATAGCACGCGGGAAAAATTTCTCCGTTGTTAACTTGCAGGTAATGTTTCAAAATAAGTCTATACGATTTTCGCTCGGTCAATGGTATTTTATATATACAACGAAAGCACAATGTATTAATGTGATTTTTATACGCAACTTTTATCACGCAGGTGGTGCGGCTTATACGATAAAAATATAATAACATCGGCGAAAGTTCCCGGCGCGAACTAGAAGCTTTATTTAACGTCAAACACGTAAGTCTACACATAACTTAAATACGTGTTATATTTTATACTATTTAATTTTTCAAAAGTCTTGAGAGAGTTTTATTATCTGATTCTTTATGATGAAATTTATTATATAAGATGCCTCACCGTTTCTTTTTTCAGCGGCATCCCACCGCTGTCACCACTTGTTACGTCCGTCCTGGAGGCGACCGGACGCGGGCGCGAGTAAAGTATGAAGAGGGCAAGCTTCGGGATAGTACCTTGAGGTACCCCGCGGTTTTTAGAACGAACTTGACCGGCCCGATGACGAGGGCGAACTCCCGTATTCGGGGTCGGCCACGGGACCGCGGAGCGACTGAGGCGGCCAACGTGCGCGGCGTGTGGATCGCGGCCGCGAGATCCCTACGTCGGGTCCTCGTAACCCGGGGGCGACTCGCGGAGGCGGTTATAGAACCCCCGTGATTTCCCGGCACCGGGTGGTAAGGAGGCGATAACACCACGGTGAGTAGGTCCACGAATACCTGCGGGTCAAATTTTCCTGCCGTATGGTACTCTCCAACGAGTGCGCGGAGCGCTCGCTCTCTTCCCGCTCCCCTGCGCACAATGATATTTTCCCTGAAACATGATTAGATTTCAGCGTTCTTCCCTATTTCTGAGATCGGGCGCGAGATGCCCGAGAGCGGGGGTGGCGATGCACCGAAGGTCGACGCGGGGAGACAGATGCTGGGAATGAGCAGTGGTGGAGTCTCTACAGAAGCCCCTTGCTCCTCGCTCAAAGAAGACCGCTAGAGAGCCTATTTAGAGGCCTACACGGCGGCCGAGTTGACAGGATTTCCCCGTAGTACCTAGAGAGTGCTCCCTGGGGACGGAACTTGAGAGTGAAAGGAAGGGCTGCGGTCAGCCGCTGCCAAGGGTGAAAGGTACACGCCGCGACTTCGATGATGGCACTCGATTTTACTAATGCGCCCGCACTCCCGGCACTGATCCCGCACTCGATCACTCTTTTGCTGCCCTTATCCGAAAAGGAGACTCAAAGTATGAAAGAAAAGAGGAATGAAAAAAAAATTGAAGAGACGACTAGAATCTGATATATTCAGTGTATATTTTAATTATTCTTTTAATATAACAAAACGAACGACGGCGGAAATTTAATATAAGAAGGTAGCTTTAGTCGATTATAAATTAATAATTAAAATTTAATATTGAACAAAGTCAAATACTATTACGCATGAGTTTAACAAGAAATATTAATACAATATCACGAAGATTTACCGAGAAATCAAATCTAATACGAAGTGAAAATTCACGCGAAGAAGTGTCGTTCCTTCCAGGAACCGCAGTTTATATACAGATAAAGGAGTGACCCTCACGCGGACAAGGGGGATTGTCCTTTCCGGAAATTACATCATGAATTTCAGTTTCCATAATCTTGTTTGATTCTCGAAACTTCTATTTTCCTGAAGTGGTGTGATGCTGAGCGGCAAAGGAATTGATCTCTCAATGCGCAACTTGTTTACTAAAAGTATTCTAGATCTTTCTATTAAGTAATTTTTGTTAATTTTTAGTACTTAGAGGTCAAATTCAGGAGGTTGCACATTAATGGGTACAGTCCCCGTAGAGCGCGTTACCGCTCTGCATCCCTTGCGCTTATCCGCCTGCTCTATTGCGCTATAAGGAAGGCTAAACGACGCCTTCAGTTTTTATGCATAGTTTCGTATAGCGCGTAGCGACTCTTTGTCGTGCCTGCTATGCGGTTTCACATTGTTTGTTTATGGCGTTTATATGAATTGTAATTGGAATTTTTACATGCAACGTCTGCAGATAGTTGCCAGTACAATATATATGCGTTGGATTAATGCTATTTTTGTAAATCTACAAATTATGGAATCTGAATAATATATTCTTTATTTTAATTTTCGATTAATTCAGGAGGAATTAAGTTGGCTGCTGCCGCCGAATGGCTGGCTTCTATTCGTGATCAGAAGGATCATCAGATTCTTGAGAACCTTCTTGAGAATTTTCGATAAGAGTTTGCTGTTGTCGCGATCTTAAGTTATATCTAGGCGTTGAAATAGTAGGCGTATCGTTAGTTCGTTGAAATTGTATATGCGGAAGATTTTTACTTTTGTGCGCGTTTGCCGTATTACGTGCTATATTATCAAATGATTGTATTGATAAATTTGAATCGTTATTATTATTTCTTACAGATTCTTCTGGTATGGACGTAGAAGTAGGGGGAAGAAAAGGGAAAGGAGAATATCCTTCAGCCCGAAAATTTTTTGCAGTCATTGACCTTGTTACGGGTCGGCTTCTATTAAGCTGTTGATTAGCTTTTGTCGCCGGGGTATCTCATCATCAGAATCTGGATTGAAAGGAGGAGATGTGGTAAGACGGCGTTGTCTAGTGATTGGTAGTATTAATAAGTGAGTAATTTTAGAGTTAGAAGGAGGATTTCTAGAAAGAGCATCTACATTATTATTAGAATTTCCAGTCTTATAAACAATTTTATAGTTATATTCTTCTAATTTTAGAAGATCTCATGAGACGTGACGTTGAATCTTTAACGCGATGTAACCATATCAAAGGCTGGTGATCCGTTACTAATGTGAAGGTATGGCCATATAAATAAGGTCTAAAATAATTTACACAGTACACTGTAGCGAGTAATTCTTTTTCAATAGTCGCGTATTTTTTTCAGCTGCATTTAGTACTCTGGAAGCGTACGCGATTGGAAGATGTTGCCCGATTGTACCTTGGCTGAGGACGCCCGCGATTGCATAATTCGAAGCATCCGTTGTAAGTATAAAATCGTGTTCAAAATCTGGATATTGCAATATTGGTTTTTCGCAGAGTAAATTACGTAAAATGTCGAATGAATTTTGTGTTTCTTGCGTCCATTTAAAAGTTGCTCCTTTCTTTAACAGGTTTGACAAAGGACTGGCTAGTTTTGAAAAATTTGAAATAAAACGACGGTAATATCTGGCGAGGCCGAGAAACTGACGCACGTTTTTTTGATTTTTTGGTATTGGAAAATTCTTTATTGCTTCTAACTTTTGCGGATCAGGCCTAACTCTTAAGATTCAAATATCAAGCCTCTTGTAAGGGGAGCTTGTCCCTTGGAGCATTCAGGAGGAAATGGTTCGACCAGCGTGATATCTGAATTGGCGACGTCTGGTGAACAGAGAGAAGATTCTTCGTGAGTACTCAGAGTTAAAAACTCGACGTGATTAATAAATATAGAATTAGTAGAATTAGTAGTAGGAGAATTAGAAGAATTAGAATTAGCAATTTGTTTATAAGGAACGATTTGATTGTTAGCATGAGAGGTTAAATTAGTAGAATTATCATTATTATTTGGCGTATTATTAATTGAATTATTATTAGTAGCATTGTAAGGCGTTTGTATCTTAGTATTAATTATATTCGTTATACTTAGAAAAATTACAAGTGAACTTTCTTATTGCACTTTTGGCAAACTATATGTAATTTAATTTTTTGTTTGTTCAGGGATATTCTGCACCAAAGAAAATGATGATTCAGCCTATGACTGGTCATATATAAAAGCTAGTTAGTCTTCGAGAGCAATTTATAACATGGCCAACAGAAGACGAGGCAATTCAATCTATTGTAACATTTCAGCGGCAAAGAGGGATTCCAAATGTTATTGGAGCAATAGATAGAACCCACATTGTAATAGATACACCAAACGACAATCCTGAAACATATATTAATAGAAAGGGTACTCATTCCATTCAGTTACAGGTATACTATTTTCTTTTATTTCTTGTATATGTCCATATAAAAAAAATCATTAAAAATGGTTATAAAATGTAATCTATTAAAATTGCAGGTGATTTGTAAGCATAATTTACAATTTATTTATTATTTTGTCGGCTTTCCTGGATCTGTACATGACCAAAGGGTATTTCGACTTTCAAATATACAACGTTTTTTTTAATTACCCTTTAAAATTTCCCAATGACAGTCATGTAATAGGAGATGCAGCCTACAAAATTCAACAGCGCTTGTTAGTACCATTTAAACATAATGAATGATTGACGGAAAGGCAATAAAATTTTAATTATTGCTTATCTTCGACTCGAATGGCAGTAGAACGTTCAATTGGGCTGCTGAAAGGACGATTTAGAATATTGCTAGACAAACTTCATGTAAGACGAACTGAACTTATTCCTAATTATGTAATGGCGTATTGCGTATTGCACAATTTATGTATAATGAGAAATGATATAATTGATGATATTCCGATATTTGTTGAAAACAATGACATACAAAATGTAGGAAACGGAGATGATGATATCAATCGGGAATTACATGTTAAATCCTTATGAAAAAGCAAATATTACTGACACAGAAATATTACTGGTAATCACATAGCAATGTTACAGGATATCACAGAAAGTATTACAGATTATTACTTATTACATGAAATATTATAGGATATCATTGAGAATATTACTAATAACTATACACAGAACGTCAATAATAATTTCGAGCCATTGTCAAAAATATTATTATCCTAAATATTACTGGCAGTAATATATTTTGGCAGTGGTTTGAAATAATTATTGACATTCTGTGTAGTTATCAGTAATATTCTTAATGATATAAATCCTATAATATTTTCTATAATAAGTAATAAGTAATAATTCTGTAATACTTTCTGTGATATCCTGTAATATTGCTATGTAATTACTAGTAATATTTCCGTGTCAGTAATATTTGCTTTTTCATACGGAAAAAAGAACGAATATGCTCTCGATATTCAGCTACCGCTCATTTGATTAGCATAAATGTTCATTATTAATTGTATGTATATCGTTGTACTTATAGAAATTAGAAATGAAACTGTTTTATAAAATGTGAACGTAAAATAATATGTATATAATCAAGCAATAATCGTAATATATTTGTATATTATACAAAAACTGTAGTAAAGAAATAAAAGGAATAAACTGCAAACTTATAGAATTTTTTTGTATATATTATATTTTATCCATACAAAATACATATTTGGAATTATTATTTGGCACCTCATAATCACAGTAATTTTATTCTCAACCACTTGAATGTTATAATTTTACTTCTGTCATACTTAAATGTTAGTAATGTTATAATTTTGTAAACCTTTACATAAATGCGCAAATCTAAACTTAAGAAACATTGATCGTGTCGATGTATATTAAAAACAAAATTAAGATATGTGGCAATAAACAAAACTCTACTACCTCCTATTACTTAATACTTTGTAGGTTTTACTAACAGTATGAGTATCACATTTTCTAAATATTGAAAATAATTATTAACGTTATCAACCTTAGTTCAGTAAAGTTTAATTAATATATTAAAATTAAAATAAAATATACAAACAAAGTGTTTTATCTAGCAAAATCATTTTCATAGAAATGTATTAAAAAATTGCCACTGAAAGTTTCAGAAACTTTCAAATTTTTTCAACTTATCAACGTTATTGACTTATTATTATACTTATGATTTATTATAGTATTACACATATTAGAATAAAAAATAAAATATAATATAATTATTTGAACGAAAACAAAGAAAATAAAAATGTGCAAAGCCAGACAAATAACACTTATTTCAATATTTCTTTTCTTGTGAAATCAATTTTTTCAAAAATTTGTTCGTTTTTCTGCGCATAATCGCGCATAGAATTGATTATTTCTTATAGATCCAACCAATCATATTCGATCGCTCGGCAAGCGTACCTAGTCGCTTTGCCATCTTGAACTCGCCCATTAACAAGTTCCGAATAACCACTCGACAGAGGCGGACGCGTTTCGGATCGGGCAACGCCATTTTCACGGCATTGCATCATTCCTTTACGTTTGCATTAAGTGAATCTGGCTGTATTGCCTCCACATATTTTAGGGGAGGCAGGAGCCATTGGGCGAGTTCAAGACGGCAAAGCGGCTAGGTACGCTTGCCGAGCGATTAAACGTAATTGATTATTTCTTATAGATCCAACCAATCATATTCGATCGCTTGGTAAGCGTACCTAGCCGCTTTGCCATCTTGAACTCGCCCATTAACAAGTTCCGATCAACCTAGACGGACGCGTTTCGGATCGGGTGCTTCTAATTTAATATTTTTAAAAGTGTTGCCGACTTTGACTTACAATTACTTTTTGTAATTATTTACACAGGACCATGGTGCGTGTCCGCGAATTGTGCTCATTTCGTTCGTTCGCGGATAATTTCGGCGTGACGACGTCGTAGATTCAGACGCCGGTGTCCGTTCGGGCAACGCCATTTTAGCGGCATTAAGTGAATCTGGCTGATGTATTGCCTCCACATATTTTAGGGGAGGCAGGAGCCATTGGGCGAGTTCAAGACGGCAAAGCGACTAGGTACGCTTGCCAAGCGATTAAACGTACACGGAAAGAATTATATCTTAAAATTTACCCTGAAAATATGGTAATTGTGGGAAAACATTATATTTCGAAGAATTTTTATGTAAATCTCTCATATTCATTAATAAAACAATAAAATATAAAATAAGTATGATTAATTTTACTGAAATGCATGGTAAAAATCTTTAAATTTATTGTATTGTACCATAATTACTATATTTTCAGGGTAAATTTTAAGAAATCCTTTTCTTCGTGTAATTGATTATTTCTTATAGATCCAACCAATTATATTCGATTGCTCGGCAAGCGTACCTAGTCGCTTTGCCATCTTGAACTCGTCCATTAACAAGCTCCGAATAACCACTCGACCGAGGTGGACGCGTTTCGGTTCGGGTGCTTTTAATTTAATATTTTTAAAAGTGTTGCCGACTTTCTTTTGGATCTTTCTTCTGATAACAGCGAACACTCACCGCTTCGCAATAGTTGAGTCTGCTGAACGCGACCATTATAAATGCTGGTAAGTCTGTTTTTATTTTAAAACCATCACAAGTAATGTCTTAAGATGCAGCTTCGTGATTGATTTATGATATCTGAACCTGTATCAACGCATCCCTCGCCCTGTGAGTAAAATGAACGGCATGGTTCACGAAACGTTGGTATTAATAATGAAGAAAGACACGGCGATAACCCGTAAACCTTCTGATATAATTATGCTTATTTCCCTTAAACAGTCAGTAAATTATAAAAAGTGATAAAAATCACTTGTAATTGAAAATAAACTACACATGTCATATCAACTACAGTGATATAGTTTTAATGCTCCAGAATATTTAGCCGTATTAAATCATAATGTTAGAAGCAGGAAATAATACATTAATTTTATTACATGCTATTTGTCAATACAGATAATTTGAATAAAATGAAATGATGAGATTGCTTTAAAACAATTGTAAATTAGATGAAGCTATCTTTATCTCTCCCCTCCGTGGTCAGTGAATTATTATCATAAGAAGTAATAAAAATCTCCTGAAGTGCTTTTACTCATTGTGCACATGCGTAGTTTATTTTCAATTACAAGTGATTTTTATCACTTTTTATAATTTACTGACTGTTTAAGGGAAATGAGCATAATTATATCAGAAGGTTTACGGGTTATCGCCGTGTCTTTCTTCATTATTAATGCCAACGTTTCATGAACCATGCCGTTCACTTTTACTCACAGGGCGAGGAGGGATGCGTTGATACTCAGCGCTGAGAGTAAATGTCGCTTGAGCGTCGTGCGGCATTTGGATCGCGCGCGATGAGGTAAGGGGGACAGCGGAAGACAGAGGCGATTCGAAAATCGGCCGATAATTACATAAGTTTTTGAACATGGCCGGAGACACTACCGCGTCTCCTGTTGTTACATACATTTTATGTACTTTGAACTGGTACCTTTATAATTAATAGTAAATCAGTTACTTTCCGTGGTAATACATTATTATTAGATAAAAAGGTTTAAATTTTTTAGTTTCCCAAATATTAGAATATTTTTAAGACCGTACAATTGATAAACAATAATAAACTAGAAGAAGAAAGCCATTTACGGTCGAAGCTGGATCACAGTGCTTATTATAATTGTGTGTGAATTTCATATACTGCGTATGTAATACCCCCATATAAATCGCGACGCTGACAGTCTTCAGCCTTGACGTATACATACTTACTACCGCAGTAGTATCACGAATTCATTTGATTAACAATTTTTGATGTTTGAGTAAGTATGTATGCGTCAAGGCTGAAGACTGTCAGCGTCGCGATTTATTCCATAATTATGTACATTTCAACGTAAAGTGTTTCATCTGAAGAGGACCAGATTTGGTGGTCGAAACTAGTAATGTAATTAACATCTGTTTTTTAATCGTTACATTTATGTAAATTTTATAAGTTCATTTTAGAATATATGTATTAATTGTTTGTTAATTTACTTTTCGTTTGACTCTTACAATGCCATTTCCATGTTTATAATGTTTTTAAAGAAAGAGTCCTTTATTTGTTTTATTTTTATAAATTGTGTAATAATACATATTAATATGATATTATTATAATTATAATATTGCGTAATATTAGTTTTCGTCTGAAGAGAAGTTTCTTCTGATAAAATATTTTTTTTATTTATAAAATTTTTTTTAATTTTTTATATGATCGACAGAGGGCGCATGGTGCATGGCGCATGATACCATATTTAAAAAATTAAAAAAATTAAATTTCACATTAGCGCGAATAATGTTTTTTTTCGTTTATGTGTCTCTCTCAGCATAAATTATATCCCATAGAGACATATTCATGCTTTTTTAATCTTGGAAAAGA